TCATCTTCATCATCATCATCATCATCATCATCATCATCATCATCATCATCATCATCATCATCATCATCATCATCATCATCATCATCATCATCAGTGACATGTTCCCTTTCCATCATCATCATCATCAGTGACATGTTCCCTTTCATAGTCAAACTGGATTATTCGTACCATTACCATCATCATACTCACTCACCACGGCCTCTATAAACCCCCACTGCATTGTATCCGAAGTAGAAAAAAAAGCAAAGGCGGGCTCCTGTGGTGAATGCATGCATCGATTAGATGCCTCGATGTCATGCACAGAAGACCTAGGTTCGATCTCAAGGTGGAGAGAAAAATTGCCTTGCGTCTCCGTCTTTCTCCAAGAACGTTGGATCCCTCTTACTATTTGAAATAATTATTCCATATGTTTTCCTACTTTATATTAAGAACATTAATATGTGTCACAACACGATGGAATCAGGGGCTCGTTAATTTTGGGGCATATGGAGTTATTCGTATAACCTTAAAGCCTTTCCATTTGCCTTGATTTTGATGGAAAACATATCTTTGATTGTAATCCAAGATATTTGCGATTGAAGGAGGTGGGGGTCACCTGGTTTCAGAGGTAAAATTAGCGAGAAAATGGCCGCCAAAGTTGAATTATTTCCTCAACTTGAGAGTCCGTGGAAACTGAAAATTTACATCTCTTAAGCCTTTAATCAACGTTTTTCAGTAAAATCCACGAAGACATGTATTCTTTATGGGGCATGAAAGGTGATAAGCCAAAAAACAAAAATTCGATAAAGGTTCCCAAACCTGCAGAAAAATGCCAGTTTCTTGACTTGTTCTGTTTTGACTAGGGCCTGATTTCACCCCGCTGTCTTTTTTTCTACCATCATCTACAGTGTGCCTGTGCCTGCCGGAGATCCGAGTGAGGGAGCCAACGTTCAACCCCGGGCCGCGCAAAGTGAGCTACAGGAGAGGGGAGAAAGCGCGCCTCTTCTGCTCTGTCAGACATCTGGGCGAGAGGACGGTGAGTGGGACACTGTGCACTTAGTTACACCCACTGGGGTGGTCAAAGGGGTGGCGCCGAGACGATGACATGAGGTCATCATCATCATCATCATCATCATCATCATCATCATCATCATCATCATCATCATCATCATCATCATCATCATCATCAACATTATCAACATCATCATCATCATCATGATCATCATCATCATTATCATCATTGTAAACAGCAGACAGTAAAACAATTAAGACTAGGTAGTATCCCCAAAACATTTAATGACAAGTTCAACGTTTCGCCCTCAACGGGCTTCATCAGGAACATTCAGCTAGCATTAGAAACCAAAGTGCGTACATTCATGTCACACCGCGAAAGATCATTCTCATCATCATCATCATCATCATCATCATCATCATCATCATCATCATCATCATC